TGTCCAAGTGCCTATTATAAGATTATTGTTAGCATCGCAAAAATCTAACGCACAGGATTGCATTCTGCAAAGCTTTGCAGAAATAAAAGGAGTTTGCCTTGGCGCCAAGCAAAGCCACCTCATAGAAGCAACAATAAGAACTTGCCTATTGGACCGTTGACAGTGACGGCCAAATTTGCACATGCCCACTTTGTCACTCCCCACCTAAGCCAAACCCAATATATTTTTCATCTTATGACTTTCACCTGCGCGATGCGGCTAGAATATTTAAGAATTGAATGTAATAATAATTCAAAGTTTCGAACTCGATCTATTTAATTTTCTTTTTAAGGTAATATTTTTTATTAATTTATTAGTTATAAAAGACAAAACCTTGATCACCAATAAATGTAACATAAAAGGATAATTAAGAGCGCTAATTAGTTTTTAATGTTAATGAACAAATTATTGCTCAAATTAGTTAGTTGAAACTTAGACATTAGAATTCATACAAAACAATGAAATTTGTATTTTTTTACATAAAAAACAAATACATAAATTCAAGCTACAAACAACAGGCGGTCTTCCAGCCAAACCATTTCCAGATTCCGTACAAAGGTCCTGCATGCAAGTTCATGAGTTGCGGAGTTCCCTTCCCTGTGTGAAACTGAATAGATAATCGAAAAATTAAAGTCAATAAAATTATAAAAGTCTTCAGTCTTTTCATGCCATAATTTTTATTTTTAAACTCTTGTTTTTCTCTTATTCTAATCTCTCAATTACTAAAATTTCAATTTTAGTCTCAATTTTCATTAATTTTTAAATCTAGTTAGTGCCTATAATAAACGTGATAATCTAAACATAACAAACGTATAATACTGTCATTTGATACTTTTATACTGAACTTAAAACCTGCAAAATAAGGTGATGACAAAGGCACAGAGAGGAAAGTAAAACATCTCATTGTAAACACACCTTCAATCCAAGCACTGGGCTCCCATCTATAGATAATCTATCGAATTAACCAATAACTCAGCAATGTTTGTCTTATATACATGATCCGTAATATATGCTTACTGTATAAGCAGATTGACATGCAAGTTTAGAAAATTTACCAAACATTTCTGAATTGAATTGTCAAAATGCACTTCTGCTGGAAGGATAATTATTGAACTCGAATCTTTCTCGAGACTCAAGTGGACAAAATTACTAATTTAGACCAGGCTAAGCTTTAGAGGGATATTGGCTTGTCATCCTAGAGCTCAGCACTGAGATGGGCAAAATTTAAACAGGGATCAATAACAAAGCCAGAAACAAAAACCTCAGTTAAAAATGGGGGAATGGGCCATTTCTTAAGTTGGCTAAGAAACCTGATACCATACTAAGAGCAATGCATTGAGCCATTTTTAACTAGTCCAGAAACTTTAACAATTATTTTCTATCCAATGCACCTCTCATCCATGACCTTCATAATGTAAAATTATATAGATTTCTTACCAATACCATACCGAGAGCATTGCAATTTTGTTGATAAAGCACTTATAAAAGAACTATTTCGTAAGGTAAGACTAGGATTCAGATACCATACATGCATCGTTTTAACATATTTCTCCGTTGGTGGAACTTTTTTAATAATCAAATAGAAGTTAAGAAAAAACTCTTAAAAAAACACAAAAGGAAATTAGCATTTCTGAACTGTTCTTCGCAAGCAACGTGAAGACGTCTTCAAATTCCGACGATAATGAAAGACTTCTCATCTTTACTAATATGATATTTACAGAGTAGCAGGCTGTTAAAGTACACAAGGGTTTACCCTAATACCTCTGTTGTGAATGCAGATAATTCGAAAATTCTGAAGTAATCTTATTGGCGAAGAAGACGAGCTCATAAGAAAATCAACTCCGAAACTTTTCTGCTCCAGAATCACCTGCAAAGAACATAAACATTAATGACGCAAGATAAATGAAATCGAATAACCCTAGATATTACCAACACAGAAAGAAAAAAGAAATCCCTAGCCGAAAAACTAAATTACAGACGGAAATTACCTTTGTTGTGAATGTAGATAATTAGAAAATAATGAAGTAATCCTACAGGCGAAGACGACGAAAGCTGATAAGAAAATCAACTAGTCCAAAACTTTTCTCATCCAGAATCACATGCAAAGAAAGAATATAAATGTCAATGACGCAAGAAAAAATAATAAATGAAAGTCGAATAACCCTAGATATTGACTAAACGGGAAGAAACAAAAAAGCCCTAACCGAAAAACTAAACACAGACTGAAAATACCTTCATAGTGGAACGCTGATAATTCAAAAATACTGAAGTAATCTTAATGGCGAAGAGGACGAGCAGATGAGAAAATCAACTGCTCGAACACTTTTCTCATCCAGAGTCGCCTGCAAAGAAAGAACATAAATGTCAATGACGCAAGATAATTGAAATCGAAAAACCCTAGGTATTGCCTAAAGCCCTAGGCGAAAAAACTTAGTTACAGACTAACAAAGAGGGGATTAAAGGAAAATCACCAACTCAGAAGATTCAATCCCCGCCATTGCAAGCCGGAAAGAGAATGATGCCATGGAAATGAAACGCGCAGAACCACAATACGCAGGCAAGAACGAAACCCTAGCCCGGAACCCTAGGGGGAAAGAAAATTTGAGAAAGATGACAAGAGAAGTCTGCCCAGGGAAAACAATGCAACCGTGAATTTGGGAAGCCGGGCGAACGAAGGTGAAGACGAAAGAAGAGCGCGGGAACGAATTTATAAGAAACAAGTTGGCTTGCAAAATACGCTACCCTGATTGCGGCCTTTTTACGCGTTAAAACTCATGGGCTTGAGGCCCATTTATAATTTATTTCTTTTAAGCCCAATACTGCTACAACTCAGCCCACTAACAAATAAGAGGAAGTTTATTAATTAACGGCTAAAATTGAAAATAGAAGTCGAATATCAATTCTAATTTGATAACAAATATTTACCAGAAGTTATAAAAAAGATTATAATGTGCACTGTACTATATAAATCTCTTTTTTTTTTCATTAAGAAATGTGAAAAATCCCGGATCACTACCTGACAAATAAAATCAGGAGACGACAAATATAAAATATGTACATATTTTTTAAAATTAAAAATATCCAAAACTGAAAAAATAATAAATATCAAACTGAAAGTGATTGAAGTATGTAAGGAGCCACGTCAACAAAAAAAAATCCAAATGAAGAGATGTGAGCTGGGAAAAATTAAAGATAAATTTGCAAATAAAATAATGGGAGGCATTTTTATGTAGCCATTTGCGAATGTTCCAATATCTATAACCTAATCATATGGAGTGCTCATATTCAAATCATATGCTTCGGTTTCCTTTCGTTTGGTTGCAGAACAGAAGCTATCCCCATCCCATTATCCACTCAAAAAAGCTGATCCTTTAAATTAGAATCATAACCCCATTATTTCCTTTCTTTTTCATTACCTTCCTTTCAATAATCTTTATGTTTCTTCTTTTTTCATTATTTTTTTAAATTACAAGGCGTGTTGTGTTCACATTATATATTATCTTGTTTGAATGAAAATAGAATTTTTTTTAAATAAAATTAGAAAGAAAAATAAGAACATTGTTGAAATTGAATACAGCTTTTGATGTCGTCCTCATTTTATATTTGGTCCTAGGGTTAAATCCCATTTTGGTGATCCAATTTTTAAATGTTTATTTCATTTTAGTTTTTGCTATTATTCTACTCTATTTTAGTTAATATTTAGTCCATTTCATACTTATTCTATGAAAAAAAAATATTATTATTTTTTAAAGTTAAAAGACCAAAATAGATTTTAAATATCTACGATAGTTTAGTTTGACCAAACGTCCCTACAAGAAATAACTATGACCATGTTAGGTTTGGTTCCTTTTACAACAAATATTTAGCTTCCAACTTCCAACGTCTTCAAAAAAAAAAAAAAAAAGTAGATAATTAAATTATGTTCATGTTGACACATGTTAGTTTTAGTCAAATACAATCTTTAAAAGAAAGTTTTATATTGTGAAATTACTACTTTATTTAAATTTTGCAAAAGATTTTATACTTAATATTTTATAATTATAACAACATGAACATCCATAGATCAATAATAAAAACGATTAAAAATTGGAGGTTTAAATTCCTACCTCTCGGTGTACTCAAAGGAATGTCATGAACTTACAAAGGAATGTCATGAACTTAAAAATTTCACGATAGATTAGGATGTATCATGTTTCTCTTAAAAAATTGATAAGAGAAGTACAGAAGTTTATTTTTGCAATAAATTTCAAAATCTAAAACAAAATCTTTAGAAGAATCCCAACTTTGCTGTCATCTTATCAGATTGTTCAATTATTGGACTGGACTGTACTACAGAATGCATAACTAAACAAAAGATTTGTTAGGCATAGCAAATTATTTAACCCCACATTTGATTCAGTGCTTGGATAATGTAATGTGTACCCAACAAATGGGGAACTTAATTAGGCTTTAAGAAACTGTTTCTGCCCAAAAACTGTTTTTTGGAAATATCTTTTTCATTCTGGATTTTACAGCTTATAAAATTAAAATTAATTATGATGGTATAAATTATAATAACATTACTAAAATATTTGAAAAGTTCAAATTTTCACCCAGTAATACTTAAAAAAACATATTAAAAAATAATAATAACAAAAACAACTTTTTATTAACTTTCAACCTATTGAATCGGGGTCTAAATTTCATCAAATCCAAAGCTTATCTGGTATATGTTCACTATGTTCACTAGGAATTATATGGTACTGTGACATGGCACTATACCTTGAACTTACTCCATCATTAGTCTACTCGACATTAATAAACATGCCGTCCTAGTCAACTTAAACATATATACACAGTTTAATCGGTTAAATCACTTATCTCTGATAAAACATGTAAATTCGAATCTCCACCCTCACATACTCAAAATAAATAAATAAAAAAAATGTAGCCCTAACTTATAAATCTATTACAGCTAGCTTCGAGTACCAACATATAGACCCGACTCATTAACTCGAGAATTCATATTACACAAACTTAACTCAGCAGTGGAATGTCTTGTGCATTAGAGAGGTTTGGTGGCAGAAGACAATGGCAATGGCAGCTTGGAAATATAAGGTAGAGAAATGGACAATCACTACAAGAACAAAGCAAGAGTTAACAGTCCCATCACATCCCCAAAATTAAACCACAATAATTTCAGGCCACACAGAGATAGAAAAATCACTTCATTTTCATTCAACAGTACCACATATCGACGTTGTCAAACCCTTCCCTCTGCCTCATCATCTTTGGGAGACGAAACAGTGACTGTTGAAAAAATTAACCACAAAACCCCCAAAAATGGAAAATAAATAAATATATATGGTTGATTGATTATACCAAAAGAAATATATAAGCTTTTTTTCATGAGTCTAATCAAGAACTTTGAAAACATGTGCTTGGTTTGATTGGATTCTCCATTTTTGAGTTCATTGGGCACTATCCCAAAGTAGGAAGATTGAAACCCAATTCAATTCAATCAACTCAAAAGCATTTCTACTTTTTTTTTTTCCCTTTTTCTCATCCATATCCCATCTGATTAACCAATGAAATCTGGCTTCACACCACATGGTTTTTATAAAAAAAGAAAATAAATTAATAATTGAGCAATTTTAAGATTTTCAGTGATAAATTGGTCTTTTTTTTGTTGTTGTTAAGATGTCATTGTTGATGACTAGACCAAGGATTGATTACAAAACTTGTGTTGCACCACAAAAGGGGAGTTAGAAGGACCATTTCTTATAAATGTTGTTGTTAGATTGTTCTTCAATTATGGCGAGTAAGATATGGTTGCTCTCAATCCAGAGGTTCCGAGACACTGTACAGTCTTTTGTCTCCAAACCCACCATTAAATTTACTTCAATTTGTTAGAAATTGACTGTCTTTTTTAATTGGGTCCATGTAAAATGAAAAATCTAGAGGTGGGTTTGTGCCTAAAGTGCCTTTTCTTTCTGATAAGACTAGGATCTGACATGGGAAAAAAAAATAGCAAAAGGGAAGAGAAATTTCCATGGAAAAATCACAAGGTTGGGGGTGGGAAAATGAGCTGCACCTCAATTATTATTGGTATTTTTTTTCTCTTTGGGATGGAGGGGTTTGGAAAAGCATAAAAAAGCAAGCCATGATGTTGATTCAAAACGTAATGATCAGAGAAGCACATGCCAAACAATTCCCACTGCCCCCATTATTTATTTTTCTCTTTTCTACCCTCTCTTTTATTTTCATTTTTTAGACTTTTAAATATGTCTAAGTATCTCAAAGAAAATATTGGATCCGATTGAACTCAAAAGTTTAATTATTTATTCCTATTCTAATTTTGTATCAATATCTTATCATATCATGTTTATATATAGATTGACTAAGATAGATACGGGTGAATAGATATCAAGTGTAAATTAAACGGTAACAATAACCAAAATTATCTTTTTTATTTTTTTAATTCTAAGATTGGTATTCGAAATGCGACCAAGGTTCTATATTGACTGGAAATAAAAAGATTGAGAAACAACATCTCTTATATCATACTATTATAGAAATATGAAAGAATCGATTATCTCTGACAATTAAAATAAACATTTTAAAAGTTCATGAACCAAGAGGGATCCCGACCCATATCTTATATCACATTCAATCCACTCCCTTTTTAGTCACTAAACTCAAGTCAACATCAACCCTTTAGCTCACCTCAGCCACCATGCATTATGATCAATTAACCAACTTGAAGTCCTTCCTTTAATTCCCCATTTTTTCTTCTTTTTTCCTTCCCCCACTTTCAAAAGATTCCACGACCCAACCAAAAATGACCAACAACCAAACTTCCCCAATTCCCCAACCGCTCCCTATTTATCCCTCCCATTTCTCCCTCCCACACCATTTTCCCCCTTCACATCCCAAAAACAAAAACCAAAATCCCCATTATGCCCCCGATCCACTCCAGCCCATTCATGGACAATTCCGCCTTCCTGTCCCTCCTCCGCCACACCTCCTCCTCCTCCGCCGCCACCGCCGCCGCCAAACGCCCGAGCAAATCTTCCTCCGGTGGCGGCGGCGGGCTTCTCAAAATGTTCAAGCTGTTCCCCATGCTGAGCTCCGGCTGCAAAATGGTGGCCCTTCTGGGGCGGCCGCGGAAGGCGCTGCTGAAAGACCACGCCACCACCGGCACCATATTCGGTTACCGGAAGGGCAGAGTGAGCCTGGCGATTCAGGAGGACCCCCATTGCCTCCCAATTTTCGTAATCGAATTGCCGATGCACACGGCGGCGCTCAACAAAGAAATGGCGTCCGACATTCTGAGGATCGCGCTGGAGAGCGAGACGAAGACCCACAAGAAGAAGCTGATGGAGGAATTCGTGTGGGCGGTGTACTGCAATGGCCGCAAAATTGGCTACTCCATTAGGCGCAAGCAAATGTCCGACGACGAGCTTCACGTTATGCAGCATTTGAGAGGGGTTTCCATGGGCGCCGGCGTGCTCCCGTCACCGGCGCCGGAGAAGGATACTTTGGACGGGGAATTGACGTATATGAGGGCCAGATTTGAGCGCGTCGTTGGATCCAAGGATTCCGAAGCTCTGTATATGATAAATCCCGACGGCGCCGCCGGCCCGGAATTGAGTATTTTCTTTGTCCGGTCTCAATAGATTTTTTTTTTCCTTAAAAAAAAAACACTCGATTAAACTCTGATCTCCATCTTCTTCTTCGTTTTCCTCTGTATAAATATGTTTCCCTAAACAGAGAATTCTATTCCTTTCCTCATTTTCTTTCTTCTTTTGTTTTTAATATAAATCTTTCCCTTTTTTTATAGATTTTCCCCCAATTTTTGTGTTTATTTGGCCTTTTTTTTTTCTCTCTCTCTTTTTACCCTTTTCTGAAGGATTATTTCATGGAAGGGCATCATGGCTCTTGCTGCAAGATGGGGACATTTTTTTTGCACTTGTAAAGATAGTTATAGTTATTTTTTATTATTATTTATTTGTTAAAATCAGCAACCACCCAGGGTTGGGAGATCCCTGGTATATTTATTTTACAAATATTTTAGTTTATATTTGAGTAAAAATATCATATTTATATCAATATATCGAACCAAAGTTAACTTAATAGTTTAATATGATAGGTTCAAAAAATAGTTTTTTAACATGATAAGGAATGTTAATGATTGATCCCAAAATTGAAACTTTTTATTTTAATTTTTTTTCAACACTTCCAATCATGTTTTCATAATTAGATTATGAAGTCATTAGTCAACTTGTTATTATATGTGTTCAAGTAATCACTCATAAATTATTTTTAAGTTTGGGCAAGAGATAAAACTTTCAAAGTTAACCAATATTGTTTTTATTTTTTTAAATTAAGTTTGTTTGCTTAAAATATATTTTATTTTATTTTAAGAAAGTGCACTATTAAATTTTTAAAAATGTTACAATTTTTCGTTATCCTCAATTTATGGCATAAATTTGACCTTTTTAATGTATTTTATATTATCTTTGCGTTTGACTTTAATTTGAATTATATTATTGTGTAAACTTTTAAATCTTTTACCATTTTTTCTTTCACCCTTCGAAAAACTCATTCAACCGTAAATAAGGAAATCAAAAAGTGAAGAAAGCTTCTATCAAAAAGCAATGCAACCACGAGCCAAACATCATTTAAGAAAAAAAAAATGCAATGCAAATCATTATAAAAGTTTGTGTGTACTATATACACACATAAAAGGTTTACGGAATAAATATAAAAGTTTAAATATGAAAAATATTTGATATATATATAAAATTAAACTATGATTTTTTATAATTATTTTGAATCTTAAAAACAAAAAATAAAAAATAAAAAGTTATGCGAGTTTTTACTTACTAGTTAGTACCCATCTTTTATCGATTATCATTAAAAATTTTAACAGAGAAATACCATTAAAAAAATGTAAAAGCTATCAAGTTTTTATGGTGTAAACATAAAAGTTGGTGTTATCTATTAGATCGATGTGTCTATCACCACAATAATATGTCTATTTTGTGCACAAGTCCTCATAGTAATTTTGGTTTTCATATCTCATATAATGGAGATGTCAGTATTATATCGTGATCTTCCTCTTATCTACGCAATGTGTAACTTTAGTCGCACACTCAATAGCTGACTGATAAGCATCAAGTATTGTTCTTTTAGTAGAAAAATACTTAGTTGTTTACTGGTCAGTTTCCATCTCTTATTACCCGTCAAAAATAATCTAAGATTTTTTTTTTTCAAAAAGTTAAGTATAATACTTATGGTAATGAGGATCGATTGAGTCAAAAGTTATAGTACCTTAATCGCTCAGCTAAATATATGTTGACCTATTTATGGTATCTTTGGCAGAGAGTAGACGTGTTGGAGCGTTTTGTATACGTGGCCCTAAACAGTGTAAAAATAATGTCAGTGTTCAATTTTTTTTCCTTTTTGAAAAGGATTTCAGCTTTCAATTACTTTGTCTACTGGTCCTATTCTCACCATTTTTCCTACGGTTTCCTTTACTTATTTGGTCATTCTATTATATTACCATTAGGTAAAAAAATTATTTTTTATATGCTCAACTTTTAATTTTATAAAACTGAATTTTTATGAAAGTAAAACAAAGGTGTAAATTTGAATTCACGACTTTTTGTTTGGGATATATATCTTAATTATTTAAACTATGCTTAAATTGACGATAAAATTAGACTATAAACTTAGATAAGTGTAGTATTTTTTATATTTTATTCGATTGTTGTTAATTCACCTACTAATTTTTACAATAAACAATGATAAAAATTGAAATACTCCTCAATTTGATGAAAATCATTACATAAAATCAAATTTAATTAGTACACAGAATCGACTATGGAATAACTATGCCAAATTTAAAAAATTTTGGGAAAAAAAGTGTGACGTTGTTTGTCTGAATTCAATCAATTTCATATAAATATACGTTTTATAATTTATTAGACAATATGAAGGTACTTTTTCAATGATTTTTTAGCCAAATTTATCAGGAAAAAAAAAACACACAAAACGTGCATTTTTAAATTTTAGGTAAAAGTTGCAACACTTATCAAAGTCTAATATGGTGAAGTTAAAAAATTTAGGGTAAATTTTAATATTTTCCATTGTTGTTATTATTATTTTTATTTCTAAAATCAGTTATGATAAAATTATGAAAAAATAGGATGAGGGCAGGAAGGGACGGCAAGTATGGATCCACGTGGGATGGCCCATTTTTATTGGGCCTTTTTTCGTCAACATACTCGACACGCTAAAGCGGCTTATAGAAGCCCAATCTCGCTTCCAAATCAAAATATTTAGGCCCAAACGAAGCCCACAGCACATTCTGGGCTGATCCATTACTTCAAGAAGCCCAAGACTTTAAACCCTCGGCCCAAGTAAAGTAAAGTCACAGAGCCCAAAACATATTTCCGTAAATATCGTATTGTGAATAGTCCCTAGCAAACTTGTAAGGAAATTACATTAATTAGCCTTTCAAAACTCGGGTTTTCTTTTTAATATTGTTGTAAATGAAACTTATTTTAAAAATATAGTTCTTTAATTAAAAATATTAAAAATATTGTAGATTTTGAAACTTATTTTAAAAATATTGCAGTTTTAAAAGATTGAAGGTTGAGACGATCATTTAGACGTGGTGCCACGTGGGCGCCACGTAAATTTTTTTAAAAATTTGAATGTGGTCGTTTCTCAAGAGACCATATGAATGGTCGGAGACGACTATCCGATCGGTTCATTTCTGGAAAAAAAATATATAATTTTTTATATTGTATATTATTTAGTAGTTTTAATATAAAAAACTTCTTAGTTGTGTAGGTGGTGTCCTGTTATCTTAATATTATACTTAAATCTTTTTTTTTTAAATCAGGCATCTTATCATCACTCCCAAACGCACCTTAAAATACCTATCTGTGACCAAAAAGTCGTTTGAACCTCCCACCACACATATTACACTAAAAAAAATTATATTTTAAAATTAAAATAGTATATAATTATGTAATTAACCAAAAGAAGTAAAGTTTTTTTTTTTTTTAAAGTAAAGTTAGATGGAAACTTTCAATTTGAAAAGTACTGCATTAATTATAATAAGAAGGTGCCAACATCAAATAACTTTGGATTAATAAAATAAAAAATACCTACATGTTAATTAGTCGCAATCAACAACCAGTGATATTCATTTTCCCTACGGAAACAGATTCCTACAAGGATTTGTGCTAAACGGAATAGGAAATTTCAACTTTCATCCCCATTTATGCTCGTCCCTGTGATTCTCCATTTGTGCTAAATGGAACGGGGATGTTAATGAAGAATACGTTACTCGTCCCTATTTTGCCTTCTTTTAAATATATATACAATTTATTGTGACATGTTTACATTTTTAAGTCCGAGATGAAATATGACATTGTTTTTATCAGGAGGTTTGAGAATTTTTCGAAATTTAGCTGATGGGATTGATTTTCAATTAATTATTTAATTGTAAATTTTGAGAAATTACTTTTTAAAAAGATAAGTGGGGGATAATTCTCCACCTCCACGGGAATCCGGCCCCACCTTGCCTCATGAATACCATACCAACCACCGCTAAAAATGACCATCATTTATTAAGTTAGGAAAAAAAAAATATATATATATATATTTATTTATTTATTATTGTCTATTTTATTAACAAGGAGAAGAGTAGCTCAGGATTATTATAAAAGTCCATTTTCTTTTCAATATGATATTCTTAATTTGCTCCCTCGAGATCATGCCTATTTTAGCTCATCGATTTTGGTCGGATCCCATTTTTTGAATCGGTTGTTTGTTTAGCGTTTTGGATTCTGATAGCATATTAACATTCATGGGTTCCATCTCAAAATCAATTGAGAATGAAAGGAGCAGTCAATGACTATTATAAACCATTGTTAAATCTCTTTACCATCTTTTTTTCTTTTGAACTTGAGATCCTTCATATATTTTACATTTTCTGTTAATGATTGATGAGTCCCTGCGCCCGAGTATTGTTTTTAGGAAAAGTCATATTGCTCCGTCAAAAAGAAAAGAGAAAGTCATATTGAAATAAAAATAATAATAAATCCAGCTGATATAAAATAAATGATTCGGAGAGAATCAGATCAGAAACACCGCACCCGACCCGACACCCTACCAAAACATTACGTACGGAGAACAATATTATGAAACCGAAATCGGATAAATGGTTTAATTTAAATTTTATTTAGTTTTCTCTAAAAAAACGTCCGGATTCTGACACTAACAAATTGATGTCCCTTTTGCCTCCAAATACACAACAACTTTTATCCCCATTTTATATAAATACAAGACAAATTCCTTTCAATTATATAACCACTTTCTCATTAATGTCTATACTATATATTATACCAATACAAATAATAATAATAATAAAACGTTGGAGGGAGAATTTCATTTCTTTGTATCTTTTGGTTTTTGTTTTTATTTGGATATCTGCAATCATTAACTTTGGTTTGAGGGTGGAGCGAGAAGGAATTATCCTTTCTTATTTTGTTCTAATTTAAAAATTATATATAAAACATTTACGATTTTGTATAGTTTTCTAATAGTTTTTCATTCTAAAAAATGGAAAAAAGATTTGAAATAATAAGTGTGTTTATATATATAAAAGTTAGCATTTAAAATCTTGCTCCTCTGCAAGAAAATTGTTGGCTCCAACTTGAATATATGTCAGAATCCATATATTCTATCATTATATAAAGAAGTTACTAACATGATTTAGTTCAATGTGATAGATGCTATATATTTTTACCATGTTCCATGGTGAATGAATGAAGAATTTTGTACTAAATAAAAGTTTTCATTGAATTGTTAATTAAATTAAGATATAGATCTCTAAAAATTAAAATATTCTTGATATGATAACTACTTTTCAAAATCTACTCAAAATGATATTTATAACTTTTTTTTTTTGTTGAGAAATGGACAATTATTGAACGTTGGACATTCAATAAACGACCTATTATAGACAAAGTCTAGTTATTTAAATATATATTATATATTTAGCTATACTGAAATATTATTTATAAATTAATATCGATGTAGTAAAATATTAAAAATGAGGTAATTTTCATATCTACCAATCAATTTGGACATATTTTCAATTTGACCCCTATCATTTTAAAAGTCAATTTGGTCCATACCTTTACCAAATTGATATTTTTTTAATGTGACAATGAACTAATATTTTCTATTTAGCTAAGTGTGTTAGTTGAATGTATATTAATTAGGAATTGAGTAAAAATATAATAACATATATGAATTTTTTAAGTGGATAAGATATCATTCAAAGTGGACTTGTAAAATTTAACTAAATCGTAGAGATGAAATTAAAATGAAGCTCAAAGCATAACAACATGTTGATATAGGAGTATGAATGAGGTGAGAGTAGGTCATTGATTCGAGGTGCACATCCCATTATTTGAGGTGATGACACAAAACCTTGCATTAAGTTTGGGATGAACCTCGCTTTTTATAAGGAAGCTTTGGAAAATGTTGTCTAGTTATTTCGGTGCTGGTCTTCAACAAACTTTATGTCGATGTGTTTATGTTTTCTAGTTAGCATAAAATCGAGCTCTGACTAGTTCAGGCAAAGGTTAGCTAACCTGAAAACACGACATAAAGTTTGTTGAAGAAATTTGTAATTTATTGTTAAAAGATGGTTTTAAGTATGGAAAATTTGAGTAAATGAAGAAACAGGGGGAAAGAAGAAATCAGTGTCCTCCGTGAGGTGAATCGATAGGATGAACCATACCTATTAATTAAAAATGAGATTGAAAATGACCATATATTCGATAGGATGGAAAGATTTGTAAAGAACGTACGAAATTCTTCACCGACTAGCCCCTGATTTTAAGGAACATCTCTTTCATTGGTAGGACCACATATTACTAATTAGTCGAATGAGTTTTTTATTAGGTTGGTTCAACTAATAGTTATGAAAAAATAAAGATCAATATACCTCAAATTTCATGCATATTTTATTAAAACATTAAAAAAATATGCACATAACAAATTACTAGAAAATCCAAAAAAATTATTGGATCCATTAAATTACCAACAACCTTAACATGTAAATGGGACATATCCACCCTAGTTTTTGACTCAAATACAAGGGTTACTATGTACTTTCAACTTTCAATGACAAGTTGAATGACCTAGAAGGCCTACAACCTTTTATTTTATTTGCAAGAAAAAAAAATTTATGACGTGTCATGTCCCAGCTCTTTTATTATTATTATTATTATTATTATTAAAACATTTTGTTGGTTTGTGGGGATCCGACGAATTGATGTTGGCCCGACCCGGAAAAGTCGGTGCAATTATTATTAAACAGAAATTTTGTGGTCGCAGTAAAAAACATTAAATTAAGATTGTCTCGTGATCCCATCGATCTGTTAAAATTAAAGCGTCCAATTTACTCTATGTTTTATTGTTCATTTGACGGCTTGACAAAAACATAATCATCTCCTCCATAAATTTTAATATTAATTTTTTCTTCAAAGATTTCCATTTAAAACATGTGTTTTATTTATACCCTTCCCATCTTTTTGAATTGTGTTATCTTCTTACTTCTTTGTAATTTCGTGAAAAATCAAAAATTTTGTATACGGTAAAACAACCAAACACTATGTTTTTAAATAAATTATTACTGTCAAAGCGAATATAATAATTGACATATATCTCAAATCGTTATGAGTTAGATCTTCTACCTTACCTATTGTACTAAAAGAAATAATAAATAAATAAATCAGTATTTGTAAATTTAAATTTACTTAATTTAAAAATAATGCTTTAATTTTTTAACTTAAAAAACTATTTTAGTTATTGTCGATTATTTTAACTTTTAACAGTTAAACATATAGACGAAGTGACTTCAAATATATACTATCGTATTTATGTAGACATTAATATTAATTAATAAATAATTTCAATATTAATCTTTTAACGACTCCTGGATTTGAGTGAATATAGAGACATATGTCAAACCACATTTTTATTAATTTTCTTTTATAGAAAAGTAGTATTTATACAAGAACCTTAAATATATCATTGTCATCTTACTATATTATATTAACTTATTTTAGTTCAACAATACGGGTAGTGAGAATTTGATTCTTTGACGTTTTGGTCAATGATGTTTTTTCTACTGCTATGGTTGACATCTTACTATCATATATATCTAGCTACCATATCTAATATAAATTTTTTTTTTGGAGTACAAATACAGTATACAAATTGATTTATTGTCAACTGATGAGGTAGTTAAATTTTCGATTATAAAAATCAAACCAATGATGAAGATTAGAAAATTGGATGGCTTAAACAACAAATTCGAAACAGTAATCGGTCGGGCATTTTGAGCGTCCGCCCACCAACTTTACAAAAAGCCACTTTCCGGGAAGTAACCCCCCTCCCCCACAGCCGCTAAAAAAAATAAATAAATAAATTTAACTTTATAAATTATTATTAATTAAAAAAAAAACGTTCCTCATTCTCCGTATATAATTCCCAAACACGGCCTTTCTGCGCTCTGTATTCCCCCACCTTACTTTTTCCGTACCTTTCGAATTTCCCCTCTCTTCTCTTCCAACAATGAATAATTATAATAATAATAATAATAATTATAATAATTCTTCATCTTCCCCTTCCACCTCCGAATCTTCCTCCTCCGATTCCTCTCTCTCCGGCAAGCCACGGCCGAGGGCTACGGCCGGCGGCCCAGATAAAATCAAGGGCCCATGGAGCGCCGAAGAGGATCGGATCCTGACCCGACTCGTCGAGCGTTACGGCCCGAGGAATTGGTCCTTGATTAGCCGTTATGTAAAGGGGCGGTCGGGGAAATCGTGCCGGCTCCGGTGGTGCAATCAGCTCTGCCCCGGCGTCGAGCACCGCCCCTTCTCTCCAGCCGAGGATGACGCCATCATCGCCGCCCACGCCCGCTACGGAAACCGGTGGGCCACCATTGCCCGCTTGCTGCCCGGTCGGACGGACAATGCCGTCAAGAATCACTGGAACTCCACGCTCAAGCGCCGAGTCAGAGAACAGAGGAGATCGGCCGGAGAGTTCGCCGGCGGGAATGACAACGCCGATGTCGTCGGCGGTGGCTCGTCGGCGTCCGCTCCGTTCGGTGCAGTCGATGATGACCCGCTGACGGCGCTAACTCTGGCCACGCCGGGAATTGGATCCGGCAGTGACGTGGCTCCGGCGTCCGACCACCGGAGCGAAACTCTGCCGGCGGGATTCTGGGAAATGATGAGGGACGTGATAGCGAGGGAGGTTAGGGAGTACATGACGACGACGTTTTCGGAAAATTCGGGATTTCAATAAAAATTTAGAGCCCTAATTTTCCTAATTTACTATTGTATAATTTATGGATTTTATGTTCCCATTTGGATTGATGTCTCGTTAATTCTATTAATTTTCGGGATTAGGAAAAAAAAAGATCCAAATTCGTGGCGGCTCTTTTGGAAAAGTTGTGTGCGTCACAGCCTGTCACGAACGCCGAGGAAGCAAACGGTCACCGTTTATTATTCTTCGCCTTGCTTGAGTCTTAAAATAGAAAAAAGAACATTTTTTTTAACGAATGTTTTGCAACTTGTGATATGTAGGTGGCCAATCATTGAATGCCACGTCAACATGCACTTGCGAGTATAGTGCGTTGCTTTGTGTACCCTTTTGGTTCTCATTGGCTCATGCAAACCATGCAAAAAATTATGCAAATAGAATAAAGGTGTTAGATTACGGATTTATATCTTTTTTGGTATTAGTTCGTGAACTTAAAAAAGCTTTCAAATTTGAATTATGTTTCTTTTCTAGGCAATCTCATTTTGCTAAAATTATTAGATAAATTTTAAAAAAATTGATGTAATGTGGTAGATAGGGAGGGGCGAGTGAATAATTTTTTTTAAGAGTAAAAAATTTGCATCCTTATAAAATGATGTTTCATTTCTTAGCTCCACTCTTAATGAAAGATGGCTAATTAATAGATTAAGGTTGATGATCAAGTGGAATAATAGACAAAGTTAGAGACGTGAAAAGACTAAAATTAAAATTAGAGTTTTTTTTTTTTTGAAAAGTTTACCTCATATTTATCACATGTGTCAATTTAGCAAAATGTTTCTAATTAAAAAAATATAATTATAGAAGCCAAAAAAAAATTATGTTATTTAGGGACTGATCATTTAATTTGTCTTAATTTTTATTTTGGTTCTGAAAATTTACCTTTTTCAATTACTTTTATATTGGTTCATTATTATTTTAGTTATTTCCAAGTCACAACTGTGATCGAAAACAATAATAATAGAAAAACTTTATAGGTAGTTGTCACTTTTCCTTTTTTCTGTCTTTTTCCTGCTTTATGATAAAAGACCACATTAAGAATGCCAGTTTTGATTTTGCAAACTCATGGGTCAGCAGAGATATTTGTATGGTCAAAAAATGCAAAAAGAAAATTGGATATGATGTTTATATTTACTACCTAATTTTCCCAATATAAAAAATTGTTACAAGTAAATCAAAAAATAATCTCTCTTTTGTGTTTAAATTTTTTTTCTCGACCTGTAGAAAAAAGTGAAAATAGAATTCAAAGACAGATAAAGAAAAAGTTGAAATATTATTTTGGTACTTGTATTTTTGATTCTTTTAGATTCTTACGCTCTTAAAAAGTTTATTTTGGTTCACGTACTTTCAATTTGTATTTATTTTAATTTCTATACTTTCAAACATCTATTTTGGTCTCTATGATTTAAAAAAAGTAACTATACTTTTTAATACAAGTTATGACTACATCTTAAAAAATCTACCAAGTGTAGCGTCGTTCTGAAATTTTATTTAAACAAACGAGATATAAAAAAAAATGAAAGAACCAAAACAATTACTTTTTAAAGTATACTATCAACATGCCATCTCAAAATTAATTAGCGATGGGAATAGTAGTCCATATCTATTATATCGATCTGGGTCGGATCTCGTTTTTGGACCAGATGCTCGTTTGAGCGTTTTGAGTTCTGATATGGAATTCTAAAATTGAGAATAATTTTGATTATTTAAACGGAAAAAAAGAGTTGATATTGGGAGAAGCGCCGGTAGTATTAGGATTTAGGAAGAGTGAAAGCAAAAATGAACAATGATTCCCACTCATATAAAGTTATGCCTTCGGCGGCACCTTTTTTTTGCCTTTTTACAGTTTTTCCTTTTACTACAAATATTTAACAATGTGATGAATAAGGTTTATTTGGAAGTGGATCTACGATTTTTTTTTATTCTTATATTATCGTGTTTTTAACTTGGATTTTCAATGTCAACCTCCAAACTTCTTGTTATTGAATCAACATTCTAATAAAATAATTATTTTTATACGTGTAATTTTAAAGAACTACTACTTGATATATCATTCAAATAATTGATATACAAAATTAAAAATATATCGTTTATTGAAATTTAATTTTAGAAATAGAAAATTATTTAAAAAAAAAAGGATAATTTGACCAAGGATTTGGGTAAATAAGCATTATTGGAAATGTGGGAAGGGTGGTGAAAATTAGGCAAGGAGAATGAGTTCATTTTTAGGCACTCGACAGTGGAAAGTTTGCTGTTTCATTAGGGATTACGGTCTAATTATGCCGTTTATTTAGTTTGAATATATGTATATCAGTCTCCTAATTATTAAAAGTTTTATATTAAATTTTTTTTTTGAAGAAATAAGAAGAAAACAACTTAACATAAAACAAATTTCGAAAAAACTAAATTGTCCAGCCACGAGGGAGTTTGACAACTCCATTCTTCCCTCAAATCGTTTTCCATCGCTCGTCTGAATAAACCATGGGCCACTTTATTTGCCTCTCGACTGACATGTTTCATTGAAACTATTTCCATATCTTTCATCATCTGCCAAATTTCTTTTAAAAGCCAAATAATTTCAGTTTGATCTTGACACTGTCTGTGAAGTAGATGAATCGCTTCGAGGAAGTCAGATTCTAAGTGAATTGGTCGACAGTGTTCTTGTCGAATCGCACGCAATCCCTCGCAAATAGTCATCACCTCTAGGTAAGTAATATTTCTTTCCGCTCTTATAATTCTACCGCCTGCTTTGATGACTTCTCCCTTCTCGTCTCTTAAAATCCAGTCAATCCCCTCAGTGTTTGTATCAGCTCGCCATGTTGCATCCGTATTTAACTTTCATGAATTTGACGTGGGAGGTTTCCATCGGGCTCCCGTATTGTCTCCAATTTACCTTGCCAGGTGCAAGTCCTTGTTTGTTGACTTTCCTCTTAGATTGTTTTTCGACCTGCACTGTTGATTATGTATCTGTCAATCACCAATTGAATGTCTCTAGTTTTGAATGCTTTGAAAATTGATTTGTTCCTCATTTCCCAAATCTGCCAAGCTATGATCATGCTTCTTGTACATTATTCTCCACCAGCCTTATCGATTAGCCACCCCCAATACTCTTTTGTGGTCTAGTTTGTCCTGTGAATATAGAAAAAATTTGCTTCAATAGGGGTGCAATTTATCCATATATCTTTAATTACCTTACATTCACATAGGATATGTTGAGTAGTATCTTCTTTTTTCCTACAAAAAGGACAAAACAGATCGTTTTATAAATTATTGATTTCATTTAAATTGAGATTCTTATTTATCTTACTTTTTTTTTTTTTAAGTTTTTAAAAGTCACTTTAGACCTATATATAATGCAATCAAAAGAGTTTTTTTTTTTTTTAAATACCATGCTTTATGCTAAATTCTGAGGGCCTTAGAGAATTGAGATTATTTCAAGGTCTATAAAATGTAACTGAAACCCTTTTAAACTCAAGTTAGTCTCAATTAAAATTATTTTTATTTTATTTCAAGGTCAGCAATCGATTTCACGTAGTGCCATAAGGGATATAACCTTAATATTTATAGGCACTTAGAAGAACAAACCGTTTATCGATCGCTTTGCATGTCCCATAAATTGTGGTGTAAATTTGGTGGTAAGCAGTTGTGGGATAGTTGTTCTACTGGTTTCAGTCCTAGCAATCTAACTTAGGTTAGGCTTTAAAAGAGGGTTACAGATCTGACTTACGTTACGAGATATTTTACTTATAATGTCGTTAATGTCCAGTTCCTCTTCTAACACGTATAATGTCGAATTACACCCTCCAACAAAATAAAATAAAAGCTAGCGAATAACTAGAAAAAGAAAATTTGTAAACTATTAGAGAATATATTTTGTGTGGACGGTTTTGTCGTCTCTTTTTTCAATCAAAATTTCTGTAGACGCGAAATTGGAAAAGCTAGCGAAGGACAGAATAGTAAATAGAACATGAGCTGAAGTTTTAAATGTTAATATTATCCACTGTTTGTTTTTATTTCATTGATGTAATCTAAGTAAATGAAGTTTCCACGCAGGGGTACAATTATTGCAACAAGAACAAAAAGGCCACAGTTTCTATTTCATCAGCATTATTTGTTGTTTAACTTTCAGCAATGGAGTCGCAGCCATGGCACCACCATGAACTTCATCTCTGAAACTCCGCAATCGAAGCCCCCGTCACCTTCACTGCTACCGCAATAGAAAGGCCTCCAAAGATCTGGGAGCAACCAAACACTGTGTCCCCCGACGTCATTTTGCATTGGGCTGTACTTGAAAACTACAAACACAATCCATTTCAATTATCAACGTTTCTATAAGTTTGAGACTTCGACATTTATATGGATCTTGAAATACCTAATGCGTCTCCGTAGTAGAAGAGTTGGTTTTGGATGGCCCATTCGGTGTAGTTGACGCCAGGACACCAACCTTTTGGACCACCTACGACAGTTCTGGCTTGGCTGGCTCCACCAAGGGAGGCAGCTGCCAGGACTGCTTGGGTTGCGTTATGGAAAGCCATATCTTTGAGCTCTAAAATACTAATTTAGAGAGAAAATGGGATATGTTGATGGAGGAAAATAACTTAGGAGATGGTTCTTATAGCACCGCCTAAAAAGGGAGGAAAAAAATTGAACAAGTAGATTGCATGAAAATTGATCAACTGGTTGAGTGATTAGACGATTACGATAACGGTTGGCCCAAGTACAGTTTGGGCCGGTCAATTCTTTGGAGTTGGACTGGCTCGCACATGGGCCCATTTGGATCAGCCCATATTTTGGGATTGCCCGTTTCGACTACTTCTGAAAGGAAATCACGAACACCATGGAACTAGTTAAATAAATAACTTTTCATGTTAATAGTTAAAAATTCATATTAATTTTTTTTTTACTACAACAAATATGAAGGTGAGAGATTGATACCTCAAACAATAGCAAATGCATATATTAGTTTCTCTCTACTTTTTTAGTACGCTTCAAAAAGTCTATTTAATAGTTGATATTGAGTAAGATCCTTAGTTCTTGCCAAATGAACTATGCTAAACTGGCTATTCCATTAATACCAAGCTGACAAAATCCAATTAATTTAGAATACTTGTTATAAAGCATTTGAGAGACTACTATTTTTTTTTTTTCTAAATAAACCCTAAACTCACTCAACCCCAATTCTAGAGTTAATTCTAGAAGCAGATTGCTCTTGTCCTGCCACCTCATCAATCTCAAATTTCTTGACAGGACAAACTAAAGAAAAGTCCAATTAATAGAGTAATTCTATTACTGGCAAAATTAAAAAAAAATAAAAAATTCTAGTACCCTCGTAATACTTACTCAATTTCCATTGACAACAATACGTCCAGTGGCAAAATTCCTTTCCATTGGCCATATATCAAGGCCTCCATTGATTCAGCATAATAGAGACGCCACTGCTGCTTCCCTGTGTGGGATTGTCCAAAAGCTGTAGCCATTGCCAACTTCCATCTCTCTTAAGTCCATAGATTTGACAGCAACAACACGCTGTGGGCTTCACTATTACTTGGTGGGCTGCACTTTAAACCCAGGAAAATGCAAGATGGACTTGATGAATCCAAAAGATTTTCCTCTAGCGGGCTCGAGTCTTTCAAATACTAACTCAGTGAGTGGTCACTAAATACGAATGGCTGGTTCTGGATGATATGCCCATTCGGTCTAACAAACATTGAAATGCCAACCTTTCAGACCAACCAACTTGGCAAACGGCCATACGGAAAATTTGGCTTGTATGGACCAGTCCCTGCAATATGCAAACCGGAACCCATTTTATTCAGTGCTCTAAATTTTCCAATCCAATCGAAACAGTGCAGAAGTATATGGTAGAGCATTGCACAGCCTTAACGGGGTGTATATATAGTAAGTCAAATAACCACATATTTGAACTCTATTTAAACTTTCCTTAGGCAATATTGGTTTGTATACTCGTCACAATAAACAACAAACTATTCGTACAACAGAAGCTGAACAGGGGCTTTATCTAAATTTAACTCGGTCGTTGGCCATTTAAAGTTACTACTTTCAGGTGACTATTCCAATACTCGTACAGAAGCTGCACGGGGGAGTATTCAGAACCTCTACTTGATTTCTAAGAGAGATATTCGTGATCTTGCAAGGCCAAATTTAATGGTTCACGAAAGGCGAAAGCTCTGGATTTATGGTTGGGCCGTGACATGGGAGTCTGTGCTATTCATTTAGGTATTGAAAAACCTGGGCAAAAGCGTTTTATAGTACATTATGGTTAGTGTTTGAGGCCTATAGATTAAACTTCTTGTCAGAAAAGCTAAACCACAAGAATTTCATGAACAAGACATACGAGTTGCCTAAATCTTGTATTCCTTTTAACGAGAGGGAATATCATCATATTACAATACGGAAGCATTGCATGTAAGCGAACATTTGGAAATAATGATATGGAGAATGAAAACAAATTAAACAAATATATGGAAATAATGATATAGAAAAATGAGGAGGGGAAAAAAGGAAACTCATGCTATACCTGCCGTTCTGATCGCATGCAAATAAGACCATCAGTTGTTCACCAGTTCTAGGATAGCATTCCTGGCCTCATTGAGCGCATTTGTACGACAAACTTCCGTTGCCCATATATTATGTGACTGCATCAACCCGGGTTCCATTATGTGTCCCTTTAACAAACTCCGAACAGCATCTGAATCCAACTGACTCCCAATGACAGTCTACCAAAGTGCACAACATATTATACAAACATTGTCCGAGTCAAAAACATCTTATCACGTCAAGGCAATTGGTAATGCTTTGAGTTCATGGAGTAATAGATATAAACTCACCCAAATGGCACCAAGACATGAATTGACTAATATGAACTTGAGGAAGCTCTCGTCTGCACTGCTGAGAGCATCATCTGAACCCAGAGAAATATCAAGGTCTTGATAAGAATTGAGGATTGACCCACAACTTCTCACAATGATTCTACCATGGTTCTTCACAACCCTGCCCAGGTGATAGCTTGCAGTGGCGCCAGAGTTACAAGCCATCCCAGTCCAGTTTAATGTCCAGTCAGCAAATTGTGGAAGCGGATCGTTCAGCCGTAATAAGGCTGCTGCTTTTTCACCACTTGTCCAGCAGTTGCATCTGGATGAACCATCATCTGTGCATGAAATTTGTAGAAAATAGAATAATTAAAATAAATAAATAAATAAATAGCAAGATTCTCCATATGCAGATAAAAATCAAATAAAAGTTTACCCATGTGACCCAAACATTGTTAATTTACACCAATTTCCATTTTTTAAGGCTTGTGAAATATTTGATTGAATACTAAACATAACGTCTCGCCTGTATGAGACCTCCCAAACTCCAGAGTTACAGGATATTAATATTTCCTAAAAGGTATGAAAACTTACCCAACATGAAGCCAGCAAGGGGTATCTTTACAAGAGGTGGCCTACGAGGAATTTCAAATTGAAAATTTACATGATCAATGTTCTTCTCCAGGACTAGAATATTGACAGCAACAACCTGAAAAAAGAGCGACATATACACTACAATGAAACTAAGAATAGTTCATAGGATAAGATGAGATAATAGTAAACATTATAGATCTGGAACATTACAAACTTAGTGGAAATTGGAAAGAGGGCATTCATAAAGCATCAATTCTCATGAGAGAGAGTGCAGAGCTTACCCTGCAACGGAACTTTGTTAACTTGCAGTGTGCAGAGTGAATCAGTTCAGAAAATAGTTGTAATGAAATATTGTCCGAATATGAGATGGAGTCGAAATACTTCTCAGTAGATGAATAATCAAGTACCCTGAAAGAGCTGATATCTATGAAAGATAACGGAGTCAACATCAATCTTCGTTGATCCCTATAATACCAATAATAACTGTCATGTTTAAGAAACGGTATTCTAATAACTCAGAAATCTGAAGGGAAGAAAAAATAGAAGCAAGATATAGATACAGATCTTATAATGATAAAGAAAACAAGGTCCATATACAACTTCGTACAGGGCCATTAGAACACCACATTTAGAAGAAATCCTAATGATGAAATGGCGACTTGATGACTGTTATCGGTAGATTAGAAAATTGCACTACTACAAATGAAAAAGATCATGGAGTTTGGACACAGGAGTTTGAGGTTTATTTTCAATGTAAATCCATTTTTCAAGACCTAGGCACGAAGAGCTTGATGCTTAGCCAGGAGTTCATTGTAGGTGTTTGGGATCATCCTTATTCAAAGAAGACGTTTTTTGCGTAATCCTCTTTTGGAAGGGTTGAATACTCCAAACAAAATCCAGAAGAAGCAGACCAACACACCATAGCGGTTTGCCCCTAGCTGGTGCTAGATGTATAAGCAGCAACAAGAATCCATCATCTGTAACCTTCCACTATGGAACTATGGAGAAGTATTCTGGGCACTTCCAATAAGTCTGTCTTCCCTTAGAAAATCCCGACAGATGCGGGTACTCTCTTTTGTGGTCCTCTTAAAAAGAAAGCATTCTGTAGCTTAACACGAGCAGTAATGTTTGTGGGAAAAACTTGGAGCAATTGTGTTTTTGTGCCTCTAAAAAGAATTTTTTAATTTTAGCCTTCATATTATTTGCATAAATTGGAGAAGATTTCTGTAACTCTTTCAGCTCGTGGGTTTTAAGCCTCATGATTTCATCTTATTGATGAAATTCCATTTTCCTATAAAGAAAAAGGTTCAAACCCACATAATGCGGTCCTTTGATGACTAATAAATAGAAATTTAAACATAATCTTTTTCTGAATTAACCATAAGGGTAGACATGTTTGAGTGCTCCACCACAATTGTCTTTTGTAATGAAGAGATAAAAATCTTGCATCCCTGTATTTTATAACATTGTTTCTAACAGCAAGGGAAGAGTCAGACGACTGACAAAACTAAGAGGAACTTTATGGCTCAAAAACTTCAATATACAGAAGGCATTTCACAGTATATATATATAGTCTCTTTTTTTTTCTAAAGAATAAAATTACATACCCCAGTTCTAAAACTCGATGGAAAGTTGCATTTACACCAGGTCCAAATCCGACAGGTAAATTATAATTCTTCGAACAACCAAAAATTTTTACCTAGAAAATAAAAAATAAAAAGGCATTGAATTGTAGATTGCACATTATATATGAAAACAAAGGAGAGAGCATGATACAGTGAGACATACAATTTGGTCCTCCACCAGAAGATGGATGCAAGTGCTTGTTGCGCCCATAAAGAATCTGCACTGGCTACCATCTCTATTGCTTTGACATTTTAAATCAGAATCTATACAGCTTTGACGAAGATCATGAACTGCAACCACATGACCTTGCAGGGACAATAAGTTTCCCTCAGGAAACAGACAGTCAGATCCACGGGAAACAGAGGTTTTCATGTACGATGTTGTGACGTCTCTATAACAGGGAGAATTTTTGCCAATTTCTTCAGGTCTTAAGACTGGTTTGATCAAATCTTCTTCCTGTTTATCAAGTTCAAATACCAAAATATCTTTTGCATTTGAAGGAAGATGAAGATAGATATCTGAAAAGGTTCCATAATGCAAATCAATCTGATCTCTTGAAATCACTCCACCATCACAGAAAGGAAAGTCATTGAACCGAGTGTTGTTTGATTCAATACTATGGAGGATATCATCATTAAAATTGAATGATATGCTCCATAAACGAGTACTTGAAGTTAAAAGAAACTTTTGGCCATTGACACAATTAGACTCCTCTATGTTGAATAATGAGTGATCTTTATAATGCTTTGTGATGTAGTAATTGCCAATCTGCAGAAACTGAAATATTGATGAAAGTATATTATTGCCTTAATAATAAGAAGAAAAGATTATCCCTATGCAAGAAGATAAGCATCATGCAAAGATGAAACACACCTGATATTTTAAAGTACTTTCAGGTTCAATCTCTAACAAAATCCTTTGGGCATTTAATCTGTAACTACAACCGCTACTTGATCTGCATCTTGTGTTGAATAAGAAACCTGACATATCTTGGCTACCATGCTTTGAACTAATAGTAGCCACACAAGAAATTCTGTGATGGTTCAAGTTGCAACATTCATGTTCCTCATTAGATCCTTCGTAACAATCGCAACAACCATTAAAGCCACAGCTAGAATCACCAAAGTTACATACTATATCTGAACCCTCTACCCTCCCAGATTGATGATCAATTTTAAGTCTCTTATCAACGTGTCTCTGATAATTTGCAGATCCAGAATCTTCCGTCAGCTGCTTCATTGAAGCCTTTGTTGAATATCTTTTATCTCTTTCGGTAAGAAATAAATTCCAAGAATAGACTACAGCCTCGACGAACATGCTTGATGTGTTTGGTGCCAAATGTTTGCCTTGGAACTAGGAAGATGCATATAAAGGAACACGAAATTTTCATTAATATTTGATAAGTTACAAAAGTAAAGTGATGTCCTTCAAAGGACATGGTTGGAAAGCTGTGCCCCCCACCAAGATACAAATCATAATACAAAGGTCCATGAGAAGAGAAGATACTGGACTTCACCTTTTGTAACATGGGAAACTTGTGTGTTACTTGTAGCAGGTGATAAGTTCCACTTTCGAAAATCTCAATATCATACCCACTGTCAACACGAGAATATAAGGGCAAATTCTTGCAGGTTGCATTTCTGTAATGGAAATAAACGAAAATTGCTATTCTAAGATCCCTTTCCAATGAGATGCTCTGAAAAAAACTTCTGCATGAGAATGACTCATTGGGCAAATACTTTTCCATTTGTGGAATGCCTTCCATGACCAGAATATATTTTGTTACCTGAAAGATCAGAATGGACAAAGGTAACTGCAAGAGACCTAAAATCATTATGGTCATAAATGACAATGACCCAACTATAGGCAGCTAAAAATCACAAAATTTACCTCATATATGCCTTTGGCATTCCAAGTCGATGGAAGATCTGGTACTATAACATCAACGCCTCCAGTTACATCAACCAACTGCAATCTTCCGGAATACGTAGAAATCTGGATAAATAATGCTTAGATAAGCTAAGTGTTTTTACTCAAAAAAAAAAAAAAAAAGATAAGCTGTGTTCATTAACACAAAACTATATTTAGTAAGACACTTCGCATTATAAAACGGAAAAAAAAAATCTAGTCATAGATAAACTTATCAGTTATCACAATAAGGACATAACACAACCCATAAATAGGCGTCGTTACCTTATAGCAGAAACCTTATAGCAGAAACGGAATGAACAATGAAAGAAGAAATAGAGATGCAAAATCAATCTTCAAATTTGCATACTGAGCCTTCAAATTCATCCTAGTTAACAACCTAAAACCTCTTTCGTTACCAATACATACTGAGCTTTCAAATTTGAATTTGAGATGAAAAGAATCGAGAAATTTTACTAACCTTCAGACTGCCGACCAAAACAAAGCCTATGTCCTCACTTCGATAAACTTTCCTTGTTGTCTGATGAAAAGATCTACCACCGCATGATAGAAGTCTGAACTGGTTGAACTGGTCGTATTCACACATAATAACTCTTTCATTTTTCAACCTTGTGGTTCTCATCCATGTAAATTTACAATGGAAAATTAAAACAGAGATAGGGACCACCTGAAACCAAGGGAAAAGGAGGCAGGAAATAGTATGTGATGTGACCCTAACGATGAAATAATTCACACAACTAATAAATAAAGATACATTGACCGTAAACTTACAGTTACAAGGCTAATGCTGTGTGGTTCACTACCACAGCCACATGAATCATGCTCATACAGTTTCATCATTGCTCCATGCTGCCAGTAGAGAGAGAATCGAGAATGACATCAAAGTATTACAAAGCCAGAGCAAAAGGTGTATTTCGTTCAATCATCATTGAACATAACATAATTTGCTTACCTGATATCGATAAATAGACAAAGGTAAATGCGATTTAGCGTACATTTGAACCAGTCCTTCCTTCTGATAACACCTTGCACCAACAAAATCAGCTCATGAGATAAGTTTGTGTTAACATAAAGAGGTGGCAGTCTGGGAGAAAGGTTCGTTAATACAGTAAAATAGAATTACATTTTTTGATCCCACGATCTCTTTTTCAGATAAAACACCGGCAAACATTTTCCGGAAAGACGAAACAAGAAGCAATAGCCTGAAACAAATCATCCAGTCCAATAAGTCAACAAGATAGAAATCTGTGTTCCTTGGCCCTATAGAAGCAGCATAAAGATTAAATACCATAGTCTTGCCGAAAAAGGTAAGGTGTCCACAAACTTCCCCAACATACACCTTGACTGTGAAAGGACGTGACACCTGCAGAAGTTTCATGTATCCAATGCATGTTTGGTCATCCAAAGAGAAAGAATGCGTTTTCAATCAATATTTTCAAGTAGCACTTCTAATGAGAATAAATGAACCTCGGATGGTGGAAATAATGAAATAGCAAACCCATGGTTGCAAGATAATCAATGTTAGGAATAAAAATAGAAGGTAGAAACGAAAAACTGAAGGTAAATATAACGTTAAAAAAATCCAAACTATAGGCATTAATTTCCATGATTCGATGAAATGTGCTACCTTTAACTGCTCAGGCAAACAGAGACGATGAAAAAATAAATAAATAAAGCTCCTCACTTGGCTTCCAATGGAGAAAATAGTTGCACAAAGATGCTAGTCTTGACGCAAGCACCAAGTATAAGCAGTTTTGACCAAGGAAATCTAGGATTCACAAAGTGAACATTCCGCACAGAAATCTACAGAAGGGTAAAAGTTGAATATGATTACAAAACATGCCTGCAAGAAAAATTGCCAATGTCCTCAAATTGAACATTATGAATGACTCACAATGGCGCCCACCCTAAGACTATGAGGTGGGGAAAGCAGATGATCAGTCAACAAAAGCCAGACCTCATTCTCGAGCTCAAGAAGCATTCCTTGCATGTATACTCCTTTTACTATACCCGTGTATGATCCACATTCTCCCTTCCCTTTGATGGCATTTTTCTTGCACGGAAGCCTTATATGAGATAACCTAGATAGATGGAGAGAGGATTTCTCCGTGCTCACATACATTAAACAGGACTCGGCCTTACCGATGGAGACCAACTTCTTTTTCAAGCCCCAAAACGTTATAAATCTTCCCACGAATTTCGTTACGACGGGATGCCAAGACGACGCGGAACCGCAAAGATACACAATCTTCGGTTTGACAAGTGAATCAGTATAATGTTTTCGAACAGGATCATCAGGTAATGTCATCGACTCGCTAGAACTACATGACCGACACTCACAAACCATGATTTGAACCATAAATCCTCGAAGATTTTTCGAGCCGATAGATGAATCGGACTCCCTGTTGCTCGGCAAATTTCTCTGGCCTACAGTACATGGAACAGTACTAACTGGACCAACTGACTCTAATACACCACAAAGACAGTGCCGAATCTTCAAATTATCGTCAGAAGTAGAGCAAGTACCTGCATCCAAGAGAACTGGATCGACGTTGGAGCACCGAGGAAGTACCCCGCTCGGATAAAGAAAGTCCCATTTTATAATTTCCAAGAATCCACCAGCCGTTCTCAATGGAATGAAATTCCAAGATAAGACCCGAATTTCTTTTCCCATCATCCCAATGTCGATGTCAAGTATGTCACAGCAAATAGTAGCCGAGCCATCAGTGAACTGAAAGCAATTGTTGCTGGGGCATCGACAAGAAGAGTGTAAGTTGGACGGTCCAGGAGCACCGGTAGGGAGATTTAGGGTTCCGATGATGATGGCCGGACGCTTTAGAGAAGTAAGAACTTTAGGGCTAGGATTTGATTCCGCAGGAGACGAGGTGGTTGATGGAACATGCCTAACATTAGATTGAAACAAATCAACTGGAATTGAATTGCAGGAAGAAGATTGATGAAGAACGTATGTTCCAGTTAGAGGAAGACCTCGTTGGATTAGGTCTGAAATGGTGAGAACTTTAATGTCGTCCATTTCGGAAGCTGTTGCTCTTCCTCCGGTGCATTCACGCGACGTAAAGCGGGAGAAGAAGAAGAAAGCGAGGGAAGATAGCGGGAAAATACGAAGGAAGAGCTTTTAAAGGAATTCTGAACAAGACGGCGCATCCAGGCCCAGGCTCGGCTAAATCTGATTGCCCTAGGCCCATTGAGTTTGATGGTGTAAAAGCCCAATATAGAAATAAACATAATTTGTGGGAGTGGCCAATTTAAATTTATTGGCAGTTATTTATTATTTTATTTTATTTTTGACAAGATTTGTGGGCAGTTGATTTTTTTGTCATTTTACATTTTTGTGCTTTCAACCTTTTAAATTAAATATATCATAACCATTCATCCTTGTGTCAGTAAATAGGATGAATTGAGACGATAGTTTGTAAAAACATAATTATATTGAATACATTAAATATTTTTTTTTATTTTTCAATCACCCGGAAGGAATCAAAGAAATATTTGTTCTTTCTTCAACAATTTTATGATCTCTAGTGAACCTCTAGTGAACCTCTCAATAAGATTCAAACCCAGATGGATATAGGATTTCAAAGAAATTTGTCATTTTCTTTCGAAACATTTGCTTCTCACGTTTAGTTAATAGCCACGACATTGAAAAATATTAGGAAAAAAATGCATTTAGGAAATAAGTTTGGTAAAAAGAAAAATATGGTTCTCATGAATTTGTTAAAAAATAATTTTACTTCAAATATAGGGAAAATAATTTAAATTAAATACACAAAAGTACGTTCAAGGCATTTCAACTCCATTTGGTAATTACGCTACTTTAAGTTTTCCAATTTAAAAAATCAAAATTACAAAAACTACAAAAAGGGTATAAAAGAAATAGAAAATAAAAATGGTCAACAGCAGAATTAACTTCTGGAATGACATGGCACAAGATGGCCTGTAAACTTCCAACGCTCGCTTTACAAAATTACAATGAAAAGAAAAAGTCAAAAAGAAAAAATCCTAAAATTCCCAAAACCACATTGATTGACAACAGCACAATCTTTGAGAACACAAACTCCACGCAATAACACCACTGGAGAAAACAATAGATTAAATCTCAAGGAAGCATGTTCATAGATTTTCAGCTTCATGTCTCGTTCTTCCAAGTCATGAATACAGCAGGATTTGCCATGAAACTTTTGGCCATTTAAGGAAGATCCAATACAATAGCCCTTCGAGATGAGATGAACCCCGCACTTCTTTTGTTGGATTGATTTTGTTGTGGAGATTGGAACTTTTACTCCATGGCCAATTCAATCACTCTGAAACACTTAAAACTGGGTTGAATTTCCTACATTGCAAGTTAGCAGCCTACCTTTGTATGAAAGTGATTCTCTGCCTGTGTTGTGGATGTGGTGCCAAAGGAGCCGGGCTTTAGGAAAAAAAAACGTCAGCCTATACAACACGGTGACTTTGACGAAACTCGACAGGTCGAGTGGTGCAGTAAACTTCACCCTGTATTGAGAAGTGATCGCCACAGATGCGGTCCCATCGCATCAGCATTATCACTGAAACTAATTTCAACAATGAACTCAAAGCACCTGGAATAACTGGCCTAGGACTTAGAAGGGGGAGTAACAAGAAAAATGTGTAAAAAATCAATCTGTTCTTCCCACAAATGCCTTTCCAAGTCTGGAAGATGCAGTTTCCGAGCTAGGGGCAGTTCTCAAGTTTCCACTATCAGACATGTAGAAGTAGTTATAGTTTATTCTTGTAACCAAATCTGCCAAGTGAGGGAAGTGCCCCACGTTTAGCTTGAACGATAGGACCTGTATATGCATAAATGGTTACATATCAGGCATGATCTTCAACTGATTTTGGCTTGCCAAATAATGGGCTTTTGCATGAAGACACCAAACTTTATGGCTTTAATAAACTTTTAACATTCCAGTTGTGAAGAGAGAATATAAAGGTTGCATAGAAACTCACTCTGAGGAGGAAAGCAATGCAATCATCGAATTGTTTCTCAATACGGTCGACCTCCATTTCACACCGAGCCTTAATTGCAGATACTGTTCCACCACTACTCAACGCCTGCTGCACAGAGTAGAAATCTAAAGCCAATCCAAGGACAACATTGATTCGGCTAGCAATAAGAGCCCACTGATTTGAATGGGATAATTAAAATCGTGTCAATTATTTGCTATAAAGGGGCAGCATGGTACGTAAGAAGAAATGCAGAGTAGAATAAGACCAGCTTATCTGGAACCACGAAGCACTGTCTATGAATCAACAGCAAGTACGCCTCATGCACCTCGATAACCGCATCCAAAGATTGTGCAGCTGCCATACCTTCACAGAGTTCACGCCAGGCACTATGATAGACCTGCATAAAGAACCTTGGTCAGAAATTAAGAAATTGGTATTTTTTGATCAATCATAAGGTTTACAAACCTAAACCCTAAGGTTTATAACAAACATATATAATAAGAATGTTAAGCATAGATTTTTTAATAATTAAACTTCAAATTGAAGAAAGAAAAAAGAAAAAGAACAAATTGAAATATAATAGTAAAAAAAAAAAGAACTGGGGCTCAATGGACAAATTTTTAGCTTGACACCCTCAAAGTGCAACGTGGCTACAGCTAATGTCCAAAAGATTCCAGGGCGTGAAAAAGAGTTCTATGGAAGTACTTTCAATCAAGGTGTGAAATCTTTACCCTGTCCATGACATATTGGTGAAAGGCATCCACAAAATGGAGGAGTTTCTGCTCTACTAGCCAATGACGCTTGCAATTGTTTACAACAGTGCTTTTACCCTGGAGAGACAATAGCCATCAAAATTAGACAAATTAGGAATGTAATCACCATGATTGATCTTAGGAATCGTGGATGATATATTTCAACTCTGATCAAGATAATACCCTAGAAAGAAAAATAACGTGGATCAAACATAAAGTAGAAATATAGAATAAAACCTTCCACATCCAACGCCTAGTTTTGTCGAGCACAAACTTGGCACGCTTAACTTTTAACAAGAACCCTGTCACCTATATGAAACAGACAATTGAGAACATAAAGAAACTTAAACTAAAACATTACAAAATTACACGTGGATTAAACAAATGTTAGGAATAATGACCTGGTTATATTTTTTAATTGCCTCTGTATTGAAAATAAGTTCAAGCGGCCAAGATACCTGAACAGCCAAATAAATTAAAACACATTAGATGCAATTCGTGAGTAACAGACAAGGCATAGAAATATATTGAAAGTGCTTCATGGGAAAACCTTGTAAGTAAATTTAAGTGAATCAAGTCCATCCATTCCAAAGCCATGTGCAGAGCTTTTATGTGGGGTCGAGGGTAGTTTCACTAAATTAGATTGCTCGTCACCATCTAAAGAATTGCTTTTGACAATGGACACCACCAAAGAATCCGGAGCACTTAGTAGCATACCATCAGCAGAGTTTCTCATAGATTCCTGCAACAATATATAGACTTGTCTTCAACTTTTATGATCTTCTGGCACGTATGGTAGACATTACACTCAAAAGAAAAGAGTCACTGAGAGTGGGAATCAACAATGTTGAGAAACGGGTTTCATTGTTCTAGTTCATAACTCAGAAACGTTAGGTTGCATCTATACTGATAAAACAGCATTGTTGCACAGTTATTTCACTCTATATCACTTGCTAAAACCATGAGAGCGCTATTCAGTAGATTATGCAAACAAGAGATGGCCGAATGTTCGGAGGGGAACATTTTATGGATGAATAAATAATAAAGAATAAAAACAAAACCGCACCTGTAATATAGTATTCAACTCAAAATCATCATCCCAGGTTTCTCCCTTGTCCAGTTTATCGAAAATTACAGTCAAGAAGTGCTGCAGTAGATCACCTGAGATAATGAAGATATTAATAGTAATACGCAAACAAACCAATAATATAACAAAAAAGTCATATCATGATCATATAGTAGAATGCTTAACAAATACCTGATCCTAATAAATAAATAGCACGTAACACTGCTAGCTCATCCATCAATCTCCACTCGTTCATCAACTTTGACAAAACACGCTTGCCAATGTAGTCCACCTACAGTAATTATATTTGATAATATCTAAATGTGAACCATGCATAATATAAATCTTAAGCTCGGATTAAGAGTTTCAAAGAACTACCTGCTGTCTAAGATATACAACAAGGCATTCTTCCATAATGACCATCGTAAGTGGCATAGTCCTGGGTACTACATTTTGCATCCACCTTAGAACCCTTGATGGGAGAGTGCTATTCTTCTGGAAGGGTAAGAGATCTGACATATGGAGATCATCCTGCACCAATATTGAATTAGTATTGAAAGAAACACAAGCTAAGCTACGAGTTCCAGAGCATCATTCAATTAAAAGGAGAAATACCTGACATGCAGGGAGAATTGTGGGAAAAGGAAACAATGTCTCAATCAGCTTCGCTTCATTTTGGGAATGAAGATGTTCATATTTATCAAACTGGAAACCGAAAGTAAAATCTGTCCCTTTTATTGCAGAAAAAGTTGCATCCTCATCACCAAATATTGCCTTAAATAAACCCTCATCGTTTAAAGGGGGCAAGTTGAAACATCTAGACAAGTTCAATCTTTTCCAAACATTTATGTTATCTTTTAGGATTGTCGTGCACACAGTAATAACTGGATTTTCGGGGTGGAACGATTCCAAGGAGCATAAACAATTTGTCATACCAAATGCCATCTTCTTTTCACTTTCACCAACAAGCTTATTTGCAACCTTGTGTCCAGACTTTAAGCCGTCACTTCCTTTCAGGGATAATGCATCTACCAATAAACTATGCCAGTGTTTCTTCTTACACGTTAACTCACCAATGCCATTTTCTACTTCTAATCTGTTCATGTGGGACTTGAATAAGGAATCAGTCCCAAGTTTGTATTGGTCATGCTTCCAGAAGTATCTAGATATGCGATCGCCATCCCCAATTAGAGCTGCCAATGACACACAAAAGAGCTCTGCCAAAGATAGCCTTGCCAAGCTTCCTCCATAATCAGCACCACCATTAAACTCTTCACCATTTTGCTTTTCAGATGCAGGAGATAAAGTTGCACAAACATGACGGATGAGCTGCAATGACTTTCCAGCAGCAACCATTGACTTAGCTACGTCCTTCATAAACAGGGGACATGCTATAGAGCCTCCAGTGTACTGGTCTTTTCCCTTCAGCAAATGAGATAAAGAGATTGATTCTCTTTCACTTGCTTCCTTTTTAATGGATGAAGAGAGCTCGCCATCCAACCTCGGTGATCTTAAAAAATAACTCTTCTCCCAAAATTCATGTTCATCAACTGAGACTGCTTCATTAGCATAAAAGAACAACTACAAATGCCAGAGTTTAGATAATTATGTACAAAAGTGGGAGAGGCAAATAGCAAACAAAAATCAGAAGTCTACCATTACTATATGAAATTTCTATAACAGAATCAAGTAAACGCTCATGCTACTAGAATTAACTTACAACCAGGAGGCCACCAAATATCAACCATACGCACCCAAAAAAAAATTAGTCTCAAAGAATATATATACGCAAACTAAAAAATATCCAAGGTTTCTGAGCAGATAGATTGGCATGCCAAATTCTATGACAGAGAACTTGCACATCGGATCGGAGTGGAGGATGTACCGGTTAAGATACAAAATTATAAACAAGTATACAAAAAAAATCCCAAAAAAGTTACCTCCTCATAAGGATCGTCAAGTATTCCTTCAAAAACCCAGGAATCAAGTTCCTCGATGTACGGCAATAAACTTCCAACAAATATATGAAGCAGCATTTGGTAAGTTTCTTCCTGTAAGAGTAAAAATTCTCAATCCAACCCTTATGAATAAAGACAAGTTAAAAAACAAAGATAAAAACTCGAATTAATGCATACAACAATAGTTCTCTCAACCTGACCATTTTGTATCAAGCACACTTCATCAAGCTTCTTGTAAAGATTGTCAAGCACATGAACTGCCAATTCAGCGGCAGTAATTGCATCACTAGATTCAAAGTATACTTTGGGAATAGCTTTGTGGACTATCTGTAATAAATATTCAGCACCTGAACAAAGACTGATATCAAATAAGTCATTGTTAGAAAGTGCCGGTGCGGTGCAAAAAGATAGGGTTAAGTGGGAGGAAAGAGAATATCACCAAAGAGTGTATATCCAAGAGAGATTGGATTTGAAACAGAAAGTTGTAAAGTGTGCAGCAATCTCTTAACCAATTAACAGAATGTTTTTATTTATGACTCTTAATTGGTATACTTCTTGGGTAAAAATAATTTCTTCTTTTATTGACAATCTAGCAAAATGGACATGTAAGAGACCTTATATTAAATGCAAGAATATGGGTGATCTCCAACAGCATTTCTCAACCTGGAGAGAGTCACCACGTTGGTTACGTGTACCATTTTTTTTTTTTTTTGTTATTTGAAGGGAAAGAAAACAAAATAAAACCTTGATAAAGAGCCGGCTAAACCCATTAAAGTAGGAGTGGTTACAGAGCCAGCATCATTTATCTTCATCTCCTCACTCGATGCTACATCCCGCAGCCTCTGCCGAAAAGCAATTACTCTCAGTCCCATGTATATAATACGCCCAAAATTATATCAATCAAGGCTTTCAGGTAGGGGAGCGGAGGGAACAACAATAACAAAATAACAGCACCATACACATACCTTCAGCCAAGCAGAAACAGATGTAACAAACGCCCTTAAAGTGGGAGCAGCTGATTTCGCGGATGTACTAACTTCTTGCAATACGAGTTGTGTCAACTGAAGACATGTTGCTGCATACATAAACTGGTTGAGAATGGCAAGAAGGCTAGATCGCGAAAGGTGGGAAACATATATCCCACTTTTAGCACAAAATTTCTTCCCAATATCATCCCAGCTAAAAAGGGAGCCAGGAAATCCTTGTAACATTTGCAAGACACCGCGTACCTACAAAAAGAGAAAAAATCGTAGCTGGATAAAAACCGCGGGAAAATCATGAGTACGATAGTACTAACTAAATTAGAGACCCATGATAAAAATATCAATAAGCCAACACACCAGGTCAAGCTCGCACGTCCTCAAGGAGGAAACTGGCGCTGCAAAATGTATCCCATTAGTGAATATGTCACTGATGCTATCTATCAAACTTCTACTCTTCCTTTGTTCCATCTGTCAGAACACAAGTTACATAATTAGAAAAATCACAGTAGTTCCCAAATACCCCCCACTCAAACTGTAACGGGATCACCAAATAAGCACAAATAACTGCTCCAATTTCCTTGAAAAAACATCTAGAAGAAGTCGGAATCCACACTACATTTTGTAGCAAATGGTTCCTGCAGAAAATTCAATGAATTCACATAGAAATTAGGGCTTACCAATTTCCATGGGAGTTCGACCTCTACAGTAATTGGCCGAAGCTAGCGTAAGTTGTCTGTTTCTTCTCCTTCGAACGCTTGCTAAAAGCTGCTGGTTCACACTCTCGCCGGAGACTCTACTCAGTGGAGCTTGCTGTGCTTGTGAATTTTGGCTCCAAACATCCTTCAAACGACACCACCGCAATTTTGATAAATGTAGTTCTACACCTTTAAAAAAATATTAAATAAATAAATGTTTTATAACCCGGAGTGGAAAATGGGAATCGTCGCCTAAAATTGGTCTTTCTGTTGGGCTGATAATTATATGGGCCTCAAACTTTCAAGCCCGATCATCTTACAGCCCACGAATGTAACTCTATCCATGTGGGACGGATTTTGGACGACTCAATATTATAAAAAGATATTTTCAAATGCGGTAGAGAATAAAAGCACGTGCTTTTTTTCCCCTCTTTTTCTTTTTTTTTTATACTGATTTTTTTCCTCTGTTCGGTATAACGCTTTAAAAGTAGGTAAGGAGAAAATAAAAATATAGTGATAAATTTAAATTTACCACTTATACAAATATTTATCGATGTTTTAACCAGTTAGATTATGTTTAAGAACTATAGACAATGTGAGTGACTAGTACTCATTACTTCGTGACTAATTACAATAAATGCTAGTATATAAATGCTATGATATTAGTATATTTAAATTACATGATTAATGATTTATTGCTCACAAGTAGATTTTAAAGTTTTAATTTAATCAATTGCTTTTTGATTGAATTGAGTGAACGGAATTCCTATGACTCCAACAAATAAAGTAAATATGTCGGTGCAGAAATTTGGTCATTCGAAATTTACTAAATTTTCATCAATCTTCTAGAATAAAAAGGGATTCGACGTACTTACAGAATAGAAAGGGGATACACTAATGTGATGTTAGCCACACACCCTCTACTCGGGGTTTAATGTGAAGCATAGCAATTAGAAATGGTTTTTGTAGCGTGCTTTAGAGTTGAATTATTCATTCCATTTATATGAATCCATATCATATTCTCCTTCAGAAACCTAATTGCTTGGGTGAGATGTAACATCGTGCGGGCTGAATGTAAGGGAAAAGATAGTCAATCGGTTACTAAACCTTATTGACTGGGCACGGGACCCATTCTTCGAGACATCGAATGGCCATTGGTCGACCAATGTCAAGTTTTGATTGTCCGGGCCTCGTGGCATTGCTCGTCTATTGGATTTTAGAGCTCGGACTTTCGTTCTTTTTTGGCCCATCTAGAATTTCTCCTTTGCTCGTGGCCTTCCTTCTTCTTAAGCAGGTCCATAGCTTGTTTGTCGGGTTTATTTTTATTTCTCCCCCAAGATGAATAACAACTCATACAAGTAAATAAATAAAATACTCGTTTGTTAACTTTCTCTACCTTAATTATTTGAACCATTCGAAATTAAATGGAAAGATGGAAAAATACATTAATAAAGTTTCAACAATCTAATCCAATTAATAATTAGATAATGAAGATTACAAACAGTACTTCGAGAAAACAAAGTCTTGATTGGTTTGTTCAAAAGTCACTTTAGACTTTGAGTCGACCCAAAGAGAGTTTATCTTTCAACACTTTTCAAGCCACCAATGAGTGGATGAAATATAACACTTTTAATTATCCAATCTCCACGCATAGAGTTTATGGACTTACGAGGGTTTCTGTTATTAAATTGTCAAAAAAAATCCCCATCTATTATTTTAATATAAAGTTAAACCAATAAATCACTTCAATTTTAGAAGTTCGTTTAAATGCTATTTTAGTACCTAAAAAATAAAATTTTATCTTTGATTTATATCGATTATTTTGCTTTCAAAATGTTCAATTTAATCTATATATTTTTAACTTTTGTTATATGTTTGTTTTGGTCCCTATACTTCCTTTAATACAATTTGATGGCTATGTTTCAAGAATTTTAGTAAGCGATGTGTCGTGCTAAATTTTATGGTTAAAAATGAGATATAAATAAAGATGAAATGATCAAAATGGTAATTTTTTAAAATTATATTGACCAAATAAACGTTTTGAAGTACATTGACTAAAATAAACAAAATTCGAAGTACATCAACTAAAATATAGGCATTTTGGAAGTACATAAATCAAAGTCCAAAGACGTACATCAACCAAAATAGCTTATTCTCTTTTTTTATTTTTTAATGGTTAGTTATGGTGTTTGATCATAGTTTCAATTTAATTTATGTAGCCTAAAATATTTCAATTTTAATTCATATAAGTTTATCTTATTTTTAAATTGATCATCTAAAATAGTCGAATTTGTTGACATATGGATATCTAACTCATATTTTATTAATATGGATGTAATTTACATCGCATTCACTCAATTAAAATTTTTAAAATTTTAAATATTAAATTGAAACTAAGTTCAAATCATAGATATATAGACTAAATTAAAATTACATTCAAATCATAAAAACCAAAATTACAATTAAAAGTAAACTTAATTGTTTTATCATAAAAAAAACTAAACTTAATTAAACCTGTCAACTCAAAAACAATTTTAAAATCTAACTTGTTATATTTTCCGTGCACAAGGATAATGGGATAATTTTGTAAAGTTGACAAGGGTGTTTCGGTCATTTAGTCCATCAACGGAATCTCTCCGCACAGAGTCGTCAAAGTCTTCTTAAAAATCATTAATTTTTATTTTTTTTTTCCACAACTATACGATGGATGCGTCCAATCAGACGTTTGATTGCTATCAATTGCCAGTGGTACAATTACAAAATTAGAGTCCAAAAAATGAACTAAAATCCCTCAAACACAGTATCCATTAGAAGGACAATTTCGTACTTTTAGTTAATACTGGTTGGTCCAAACAGAAGTTTAAATAATAAAGAGCTTCATTTCAGTTCCCTCCCCCGCCATTGCCTTCTCCTAAAACGCCTCTGCTGCTGCGAAGCTGCAACAATGGCGGTTACCGACTTCTTCGTCGGAGAAATCGCCACCGAGCTCCTTAAAATGATGGTACAAATTTCGACTAAATCCTGCCTCTGTAAAACGACGGCGGCTCAAATCGCCAACTCCATTCAGCAACTCTTACCAATTATCGAAGAGATCAAGTACTCGGGCGTCGAATTGCCCGCACATCGCCAGTTCCAGTTGGATCGCTTCAGCGAAACTCTCCGAAAAGGAATCGAGATTTC